GTTCAGCGATGCTGGAACCAGCGGCCATGATTGATCGCAACTAACAACCGCCACGGTGGAGACAGGAAAACTCCAGTGCTGCAATAGGATTTTTTTTCTTGGAACCGGAGTCCAAGGATGCTCGAACCAGAGGTTGGAACCAGCAGCTGCCGGCCGCGAAGACGACAGACTCTGGTGCTGCTATCATTGTTTTTTTTTTTTGCTGGAACCAAGTGGGAGGAAAGCTGCAACCACTATTGGCCGGCAAATTTTTTGCTGGTACCGGCAAGATTTTTTGTTGCGAGGACAGGTGAGAGTTTTTGGTGTGACCGGCAACGGCGACCTGTTTTTTGCTAGAACCGACAATATTTTTTGCTGGAATTAGCATAATTATTTGCTGGAATCGGTTAGTTCGTTTGCTGCTTTAACTTTTTTGTGCTGGAACCATTGTTAATTATGGCTGGAATCGGCTACTGTTTTTGCTTCAACTGACCAGCGGGAGATTTCTGTCTGCTGAGTTTTTCCGCTGGAACACGATGGTTCTAGTCGACGGCGAGCCGGTGCCAGCGCCACAAGAGATATTACAACATGGTGGTGACCACGAGCTAGAACCGGCGGGCGTCAGAGTTGCGACGATGGGAGGAGGCAAGCTGGAAGAGCATGTTGCAACCGAGGCAAGGGACCACCGCGAGCTCACCGGCGGTGGCTGGTCACCTATGCGTCCATGGCTGGGGGCCGGTGGCTCGCTGCCCCCGTCCTCTTCCCATAAAGGGGTGTGTTGGCCTGATGTGTTTGGGAAAAGTCAAAGGTATGTGAGAGTTAGAGGTTGAGGATGAAGTGGGAGACTAGATCTCGTGGTTAGAAATTGCCACACCGGACGCACGGGATAGGACCGGCTGAAAATTAGGTCGGTGCACCGGCGCCTATCACTGTCCAACTATAAAAATTCACCTAAAGTATAAAGCATCTTAAACATAATAAAAATTATGTCGAGTCTATGGACCAACGAACGACTATTGTCGCGTCAGAACGAGCCGCCAACACGTTACCGTTGTCGCTCCCATACCGAAGCCCGATTGACCTGGTTGATGACAGCCCACAATATATCTTACAATTTAGATGCATACACACACCCTACCACCAAACGACATACTGCCGTGGAGTTTCAAGATGTGCCACACTATCGACAGGAATCGATGTCACCTGCCATTGAAGTAATCCGCTTAAAAAAATTCAGCTAAAACGAGACAAACAGAATGTCGGACCAAGGGTTTGATCTCTCGTTGTTGGGGTACAACAACCCATCTTAGCTATTCCCTCTGTTCATTTTTATAAGTCGTTTCAGACAACTAAAATTGACCTATTTTGCATGATGTCTGAAATCCTATAAAAACTTATAAAAGTGAACAGAGGGAGTACCAATCATGGCTTGGTTCTTAGTGATCAAAATTGTTATTGCCGTGGAAACAACAAAATAATTGAAGGTATGCCATTGTTAGTACTCAAGAAGTAAATTAGTGGGGCATGTACGGAAGACCTTATAGCGGAAGTCACCATACGCTGAACACGAATAGGTCTAATGGCCTCATTGAACATGAATTGCTTTGTGTTAGAGAAACGATGAGAGACGTGTAGCCACATCCTAAGCTTCCCCTCTCTTGATGATCTGAGCCTTACAAGATCTCTGGAAGTATACTGTATGTCAATATATTTTTTCCTTACTTGGCGCAAAATTGCAAACGTAAGAACATGACGTCGAACATATGTATTGACATAATTTTGTGGTTTACTTTGCTATGACTCACATCTTGTGTTTATTTTGCTGTTTTTTTCGTCTTGAGTCAACATGCATGTAACTATTTGTATATCAAACGTAAATTTCAAATTTAGAGACTTGGGAAAACTAACTTATGTTGCACCCTTGGGACTGAGTATGTATATATGTATTTATGTTTGTATTGAGTCATTAAACTTTACTAAGTGCAAAGTCGCACCTTCGAGATACTCTCACGAGAGACACACAATATCATAACACAAAGAAACTTAAATCGCACTTCAATTGTCAATATGTAGTTCCCCATGCTTCCTATATCTAGAAGTGTCCAAGGCGAGCCAATGATAAGAAGTAATTATCAAAATCTATTTCACCAATATGGTCATCATTGGTGACCCCTATTGTACTAACAAGTGGCTAGCACTTCCAGCTCATAGTTAGTATCTTTATATGCTTTTGGTGAATCCAAGATTCACATTGAGTTCAAGAAACATGTACTATGTAGAAGGACACATCCAAATTAAATAGAGATAAATTCAATCTAAAGATACTAGATCAAATATCAAAGTTTCCCACTCCTTCCAACCTATTCCTCAAATTTTCCACCTCCCCGGTACTTGCAAGTATTCCTACACTTCCAAGTTTGTAGCAAAGTGAAATAGTAAAGTAAAAGTAGCAATTTTGATGAAGATTTCAGTAATGGAGAATAGACCCAGAGGGCCATAGGTTAACAGTGGGAACTCCCTCGAAACAAGTAAGTGGTGTGGTGAACAAATTACTATTGGGCAGCGATGAAATTGCAATATTTATATTTATGACTATGATCATTCATGATATAGTCTCATATAGGCATTACGTGTTGATAAGTCGTTAATCCAACTGCATCTATGAGAAATCTCAAAGGTATATATAATTTTCTATTGTTTCATGCTATTATATTATCACTTTTATATACTCCCTCCGTCCGAGAAAAGTTGTCTCCATGGCAATTTTACAGAAAACCCCTCTCCAAACTCCTGACACAACCCGCACTCCTTGTCTTCTCCAGTCGATGCTCCACCGCTCCGACACAGGCACATGGACGCCGGAGCTCCCCTGCGCCGCGCTTCTCCCCTGCTCTCCCGCACGTCCTCCACCGCCGCCCCAGCTACCTCCTCCGTCGCTCCATTTTGCCTCGCACAGCTCTCCGGCCTCCCGAATCTCCCCTCTTTCACCCCAAAAATTGCTTCTTCTTCCTCCCGCCATGTCTCTTGCTCGCGCCCACCCCTCCCTCCTAGCGTTAAAGGAAGAAGCGTGGCCAGCCCTCGGCCTGATGGCCAGCGACACGGTCTTCCCGCCCCCGCCTCCCCACGGTACCGCGGCTCCGACCCCTGTGGCGTGGGACGAGGCCGCAATGGCGCGACAGGAGATGGTGGCCAAGGAGTCGTCTGCGCAGGCGATGAGCCAGATCGTGTCCAGCTGCGCCAACTCGAGCGGCCTGGCCGTGGCCGTCGTCGACGCCAACGCCATCATCTCTGGCGGCCCCATGCTCGCCTCCACCGCGGGCCGGCTGGTCAATGTGCTCGAGATCCTCAAGGAGGTGCGCGACGCCGCATCGCACCGGAGACTCATGCTCCTACCCACCCCCGCCGTGACCGTCGAGCCCGCCCCTGAGTTTGTCAAGAGAGGTCGAATGTTTACTTTAGCCGGCCCAGACCTCGTACTGCTGTTTTCACCTGCTAAATAGAGCTTAAGCTCTGCACTTTCATGGACTGAAGTTCATTTTACTCATTATGCTTCTTTCTTTTTCTATAGGAAACAACGAAAACTTCTGTGCATGGAGTAATTGGGATCTGAAAAAAATTACAAATCAAGTTTAGCTCCAAAATGCTCCAAATCATTTGATCAAGTCTAGTTCTTTGCAGTGTTGTATTCTATAGGGCCAGCTCGAACCGTGTGCACCAGGAAGAAGGCCAGCTCGAACCAACAGGATGCCTGCAAAACGATTTCGAACAAGGTGCGTGTAGTTAGCAGGTTAGTTGCTCATGTATGTGTAGATAGAGGTATGAGTAGCTAAATTCAGAAACTTTCCTACACTAGGCACTGTAAACTTCCAGTACACACAATTCAATTATCTTTTTAGTAGGAAAATTTTAGTAACAAATTTCAGAAGCTTGGATTTTCAAGATAAATCTAACTATGCTTGAAACTGAAATTTAAACTGGGTATGCAGTAAATTATTATTTTAAATGCTCCAAGCTAATCCAAGTACTGAATTACTCCTTGCTGGGGGACATTTCCAAGAAATAATGAATGAACTTCTTCCTTTTCAACAAAATCTTTACCTGTAAATCCAAGCTAATCCAAGTAAATTTGTGGCTTATCAAACTCCAGAAACTAATCTAATGGGTGCAATCTCTGCTTCCTTCCTTCCATGGCTTTCATTTGGTGAAATAATGAATGAACTTCTTCCTTTTCAACAAATCTTTACCTATAAATATCTGAATATTTTTGCACAAGTACAGTTGCAGTGGACTGCACAAGTACTTAAATGCTCCAAGAAGAAGAAGAATTGTAATACTCCATTTATAAGAAGAAGCATATGGTTTAGATTATTCTTCTTCTTACAAATTGATAGATTGTGAACTGAAATTATTTGGAAATAAGATAGCACTTGAGATAAGATAGCAATTGATCTAGCTGATTATAATTTTCATCA